GGGCCCGTAGGAGGGGTGGGAGGGCGCCACCCGCTGCCGTGCCCGGAGGAGCGCTTGCCTGGAGGCGGGGAACGGCGCAGGGGTGCGGCGGCGGCGGCCTCGGCGCCCAGGACTTTCGAAACAGCAGTGTCCGCAGGCGTGGGTCTCAGTCTCCTCGTTTGAGGCAGAGCTGGCGCACGTGGGGAAAGAGAGGAAGGACCTGGCGCGCCCGGGCGACATGGGGTGCTAGCGGGGGCTCTGGGGTCCTCAGAACGTCCCCTTTAGCCGCGGCGAGCTCACACGGAGGGGTGGGCTCCGGAAATGCCACGGGGGCCGCATGCACCCGCGGGGCGGGCGGTGCCAGGTATCTCCACGGCGCGCCGAGTTCTCTCTCACTGTCTTGCGGTAGGAACCTTGTTATCCCATCTTGGGATCAAAAACAAAAACAAGACCCTAGGCGCGACCCTCAATAAACAGGGAAGGAAGGAATGAGAGCGCGGCCAGTGGGAGCCCGGAGTGAGCTGGCAGCCACCCACCCCTGCTCCTCGGGCCCTTCCATGTGCTTCTGGGGCTTGGGGGCCCGACTCTGCTAGGTGCAGGTTCCTGAACGCGGGACAAGGGCACGTCCAGCTCGGGAGTTGCAGGAACAGAGGCCGGCCCTCTCTCCGTTCACTCCACAGCAGGCCTGCCCACAGCCAGGTTCTGAGTGCCCAGCCTGGTCATGGCCTCCCTGACCGTGTCAAGTTGGCAGTTGGTAGTAATGTGCATCCATGACCGTCTTCCTTTCTCATTTGGACCCAGAGAACCAATCAAACCCACAGGCAAACAGGGCCAGTGCTAGACTGCTCTTTCCTCTGGTTTCCTGGAAACCACCCAGTGATGGGGGCTGCCGATCACATTCACACGTGCCCAGGTGTGGGGGGAGGGATTACGCCATCAAGCCACCACAGCAGCTCGGGTTGGGACTGGCAGATGCCCTCTGTGCCTGTGGGGCCTGGCGGGAGGAGCTGGGCGGGGACCTGAGGGATGCTCCAGGGAGCCCACAGGGGGAGCCTCTTGGAAGAGGGGCAGTCGGACCAGGGTCACAATAGGGCCACGGCTACTTAGGGGCGTCTTGCAAAAGGCTCAGCCTAGAAAGGCTGGGCTGCAGGGCAGGGAGACCCCCAAACGCTCAGGATAGATCCTCAATGCACCTGGAGTGCCAGGGATTGGGGGAGCATGGGGGGCTGCAGGGAGAGAACGGTGGAAACCAACCCAGTGCCTGCCCAGTGCCCCTTGCAATCTGCACATACACTCCCACCCTCGAGTTGGAAGATAGGGCTCTTTGGCCTACTAAGACAGCCCTCAAGCTCAGGGGGACGGGTCCAGCCCCTCCCAGGCATGGGCCTTCCCTCCTTCCAGACTTTTCCACAGCAGCTGCACCATTTTACATAAAACCCAGCAAAGCGCAAGGCTTCCAATCCCTCCACATCCCCACATCCTCACCAACATCCATTATTTTCAGTTTTCTTTTTTTATAAGAACCATCTAATGCGTGAGGTGGTCTCTCATGACGGTTTTGATTTGGCTAAGAATGGTGAGCGTTTCTCATGTTCTCATTCGCCACTGGTGTATCTTACGAGAAACACCTGTTCACACTCTTGGCCCGTTGTGAGCTGGGCTCTTTGTTGTTGGACTGCAGGAGTTGTTGTTTTATATCCTAGATATTAACCTCTTATCAGACATGATTTGCAAATACTTTCTCCCACCCTGTGGGCGGCCTTGACACTCTGTTAACAGCGTCCTTTAATGTGTCAAAGTTTTTAACTTCGTTAAAGCTTAATTTATCTTTTTCTTTCCTTGCCTGTGCTTTTGATTCCATATCCCAGAAGCCATCGCCAGGTCCAGAGCTGTGAAGACGCTCCCCCCATGTTTTCTTCCAAGAGTTAAAAAGCTTTAGCTCCTGTGCTTAGGTGTATGAGTTAGAGTTGTATGTGGTTGAGGCAGGGGTTCAACTTCATTCCTTTGCACATGGGTCCCCTTCCTTCAAAACCCAGCCCCTGGAGAAGTGGCCTCTGCATGCAGCCTCCTCCGTACCCACAGCTTGGTCCCCAGGGGAGCTGGCGTCCCTGGGGCCCTGCCCCAGTCACACCACCCCCTCCCCATAGGGTGGGCACAAGGCCTGGCACAGCCCGCCAGAATCCCTCCACGGGGTTTTATCAAGCCCTCACCTTCCCCAAGCCGTTCTCCTTCATACCCAGTGAGCTCTCAAGTGCCCCCTCCCACTGGAACTGCTGCACTTTGGACACACAGCAAGCCCCCACCCCCTGCTGCAGCCCCATATACTGGAAATGTCATGTGAAGTCTGGCCCCAACCGCTTGACCCAACCCACCCCATACCACCCTGCCCCCGCTCCCTCTGCTCCAGCCACAGGGGCCTACGTCTGCTCACCCACCTCCGGTTCCTTCTCCCTGGAAGGCTCTTCCTCCAACCACCCGCTGCCCCCTCCCCACCCTTATACACACACAGCCGGATCCTGCTCCTCCTTCAGGCCTTGGAGTGGAGACCACCTCCTCAGAGCCCTCCCTGACCACCCTGTCTAAACCAGGTGAATTAGTTAGCTGTTGCTGTGTAACAAGTCACTACATACTTAGCTTTCAGCAAGGCAAGTTTATTATCTCAGCTTTTGTGCATCAGGAGCCCGGGCTTGGCAGGGTCCTCTGCTTAGGGTCTCACAAGGCTCGGGTTGCATTCTCCAGCCCTCATCTGAGGCTCAGGGACTTCCTGCAAACTCACTAGCTGTTGGCAGCATTCAGCTCCTTGCTATTGAAGGCCAAGGTCCCACTTTCTTACTGGCTGTCAGCAGGGGGCCATTCTCAGCTCTCAGGGGCCACCAGCTGTTTCCTGTCACGTGGCCCCATGTACACAATGGCAATGTGCTTCTTCAAGGCCAGTCAGTGCTGGATAAATGTTCGTGAGCTGACTGATGAATGGGAGGCTGATACTGAGTACGTGGTCGTGGTGTGCCAGGGCATGAGCTCAGGAAGGCATCTGGGCTGAGGCGAGCCCTGAGGGAGCCTTCTGCCCACCCCACCCTCCTCCAATCCATCTTCCCTCCCCCGATGCCAGCCCTTCTCCCAAAATGAGGGCCTTAGGCCTCACACCACTTCCCACCAGGATGGGAATTCTCTGCTGGTTAAAACTCAGTAACCCCTAAGGCTGAGGGGCCACACTGCCTCCATCTCCAAATATCCTTTCACCACGCAAACAAAACCAAAACCTCGAGTCTCCTGCTCCACGACCTCGATGGCTGCCCACGGCCCACGGGACCAAGCCCGGCCCACATGCCTTGTCCGTCTGCCTCCCCAAACCACACCCTTCGTTATCCCTCCAGGCCACACCACACTAGCCGTCCCTGCCTGTTCTGTCCCCCTGGCTCTGGGAGCCCACAGGCCCCTGATCCTCTTGCCTTCAGCATTGGCCAGCCCTTTACTGGCCGCTGCTATTGCTGAGTGCCTTCCCCATGCACTTCTGTGCAAACCTCCTGGCACCCCACCAACAAGACGGAGCCTGATGCTCTCAGTAGGAGCCTGGTTCCTTAAAGCACAGCCATGGGCTGGCTGCACGGCACACCCACCTCTCCGGACCACACAGAACTGGCAAACCAGGGCTGGGGGCTCAGAAAATCAGCGTCTCAGACAAGCCCGAGGATCATTGCACGCAACTGCGGCTGCCTTGGGTGGAGGGGCTGCGGGAGGCGGTGTCCCCAGGCCAGCCCACGCTGGGTCACTACAGGGACCCAGGAATGGGAGGCCACTTTGGAGTTCAGTCTGGGAGAGACCTGAAACGTTCACATTCTGCTCAGGGGGGCCAAGACCTCTGACCTTTGTTACCTGGAATCCCCGTCATGACAGCCAAGCCCCCTCTCCCGGCCACTGTTGCACACCCCTCCCCAGCCCACTATGAGTCCCCCATGTCAGAGCTGTGAGATGCCCTCATTTTACTCTGGAGCAACAGGATGGCTGGGAGCACGTGGACTTCATTCACTGGGCATCCGCTGAGCGCACTGGGCCAGCAGTGGGCAAGGGGACACTAGCCATACGGTCCCTGCCCCTGGGGAAACCGCCAACAAGGTGCCCACTGGAGGAGCTCCGGGGAGGGCTCCGCTGTCCAGCGTCCCGCGCGTGCGGCCCGGCCCACGAGAACGCCCCGCAACGCCTGCGCTGCCCGCAAGGGGCCGGGACACCCTCGCTGGGGGACCCCCCACAGGAGGAGGGGGCTGACCTTGGAGCGCCCCCTCCCCGCCGCGAAGTCAGGGGCGCGGGGCGAGGGGCCGCCCGACGGCGAGGTAACCCGGGAGGCCAGGCAGGGCCAGAGTCCGTGCGTGGGTCCCACCGCCCCGTCCCCGGGCTGCCCCCACTTTAGGGAGCGTCCGCACTTCTCCTCCCGTCGGTCGAACGCACACGCAGCCTCTTGTATTGGGTCAGCTTATTGGGCGGATTCGACGGACACTCCGCCCAGGGCCCCGATCTGGCCAATTGCGAGGGTTTTCACAGGGCGCCGCGCTCGGGGGATCGTCACCGTGCTGCGACGCTTCAGGGAGCCTTAGGCCTCAGTACCCTTTGCCCCCTCGTCCCGGTCCCCAACCGCAAGGAGACTTCTGGGACCGGCGCCCGGAGAGCTGCCCGCACGGCATCCGGGGGGCCCTTGGAGATCTCGGCCGCCTCCTTCGTCCACGGCTCGCCGGCGTGTCCTCGAGTGCACGCGCGCACCGCGGGGCGGAGTTTGCAGACGGTCCCTCACCTCGGGGACGCGGCTCCTTTAAGGGTGCAAGTGTCCAGGGAGCCGCCTGACTGGAAAGCCGCCCCCGGGCCGGGCTCCCGGGCAGGACATGGGCCGCGGGCGGACCGTGGCGGGGCGCGGGCGGCTCGGGGCGCGGTGCGGCGCGGGCGGTGGGCAGTGCGGGACGGGTGCGGCGGCTCCCGGGGCAGGCGCGCGGCGGGCAGCCCCCGCAGGCCCCGCCCCGCCCCGCCCGCGCGGGGTCCTCGGAGCGCTCGGGCTGCGCGCGGAGCGGGCTCGGGAGGGAAGTCCCGAACAAAGGAGCGCCGCTGCCGCCGCCGCCTCGCTTCCTCGCTCGCCGGCCTGGCCGCCGAGGTGAGCGGGTGGGCGGGCGGACAGGGCCGCGCCGACGCCCGCCCTGCCCGCGGCCCGCGCCGCGGGGCTCGGCCTGGCCTCGCCTGGCCTGGGTTCGGGGGAGGCGGCGGGGCGGCCCGGGCTCCGCGCGGGGCGGGAGTCCGGCCGGTGCGCGTCTCCGAGCGCGGCGCGCGGACCTGTGGCGCGGGCTGGTGGCGGGGCAGCGTCTGCACACCGCGAGCCGCTGTTGGTTGCGTCCGGTATTCCGCGCTGTTGCGGGACCGGGTGCCGGCGGCCCGCGCGGAGTTTCTTTCTGGATCGCCCCGCTGCAGTTGGACGGAGGCCGGAGCCGGTCGCTGCGGGAGGAGGGGAAGGGAGTGATGGTCCAGGCTCGCGAGCACGGCCTGCAGGCGCTCCGAACCACTGTGTTAGCCGTTTGGTTTGTGTAGCCCGAAAATAGGCTTAGTTCCTCCGTGTGCAAGGTTGGATTTTTGGTTGTTAACCTTTGAAGACTGCAGCCCCAGTCGCTTCTTGTTGTTAAGGAAACGCTGCCGTTGAGTAGAGAGGACCTACACGACAGAAAAGGGAGGTGCGCCCTGAGTTCGTCCCGATCCGCTTAAGGCCTTTTGGGGGTTCAGGGGTGCACTCAGCATGCTGTGTGCCTTTGGTGAGTCTCGGGGTTTGAGACGTCGCTTCAGAAGCAGCCCAGGGTCCTGGGAGCTGTGTCAGATAGTGACAGGAGGGTGCAGACAGGGCGGGAGGGTCTTCGAGCGCAGGGAGCTAGGCCCAGGCCAAGCACATGCCGCCCACCCCCAGGCCACCACCACCGGGGAGTCGGCGTTTGGGTGGGAAGGGCCCGTCCGCGGCTCCTCTTTCACCACCATTGCATCCAGGTGGTGCCGTCACGCGCTTTACCGATGAGAAAGTTGGGGTGGGGGAGATGAGCACCTTGCCCACTCATGCGGGCAGCGAGGAGCTCTGAAGCTGGGCTGACAGCCAGCACACGGGGCGCTCTGTGACTGGGGGGGCCCCGGAGGGGGGTGGCGGGCTGACCCCCGGCTCCGCGCAGAGAACTGGCCCCTGTCCTGCAGGCTGTCCCCAGTGCCTAGCAGGGGAGGTATCCCGACTTGCTGGCCCTCAAGGGTCTGGTAACAGGTGCTCTAGTGCCGCCGAAGGTAGAGTGATTTCAAGTGCGATTCTGAATGACTCGTGGTTCCGTGTTGCGATTAAAATGTAACGAACTGGCTGCTTTCTCCTGGAGGGCATGAGGCCAAGGGGGAGGAGACCCCAGCCTCTGCCCGGGACAGCGGGTGTGCCCTGATGCGGACCCGGGCTGTTGCACCAGCACCCCCTGGGGGGGGCCGCAGGAGCTCCTGCAGTACCACCCGCATGATCGCTCTCACCTGGGACAACCACAGCTAAGCACTAGGGAAAGGCCTCCACAAGCGACCTTGTCCATCAGAGCAGAAGAGGCAGCCCGCCAGGGTCCTGGCGCGCAGTCAGCAGGCGGGCAGCCCTCAGCCTGGCCCTGTAGGCTTGCACCGTGTCCAGAGCACTCTTGAGGGTGGTTTTTGCCCACTAGGGCATTCGTGGCTCCTCGGTGCCCAGGGTGCTGGCCTGGCCGAGCTCAGACTCAGTGGGGACTCAGCAGCCCTCTACGGGGCTGCTTGGCTTCGATCACAGTTTCCGTGTTCGTTGGTCAGCAGCCGTGTTCTTCTAGCCCGCGCTGTCCGCTCTGCCTTGGTCGAGGCGAGGGGCCTGCTGCAGAGACGTCCTGTGTGTGCTCCATAGGGAGGGACGCTGGCAGGCTCAGGCGGGGCGGGTTGCTTTGAAAGCCAGTGTGTCCCAGGTGCTGCGGCCCAGGGCCTTGTGCAGAAGGGCATTTCCACTGGCCTGGAGTTGGGTCGAGTTCCATTTAGAAGAAGAACCAGTTGAAGTGAAGGTTTTGAGAATCTTGTGGGAGTGAAGACATTTTCAGATATTGGAGTCACTGCCTGATTCTCACCACAGAGTCAAAGACAGAAGCCCGCTGGTGCTCTCTAACCCTGCCCTCTGTGCCCAAGCCCCCACAGTGACCCGCTGGCCCTCCTGGCCAGTGCCTACCCCTCCTGCCTGCCATGGCCCTCACCTCTGGCCCACCAAGCCCTGCTTGATCCGTCTCCGGCCAGGTCGCTGCTGACTGTGCTCCAGGCCAGTCCCAGTGGCCCTGCCCCATATCTCCTGGCACCTCGTCTTCCCGGCACAGGGCTCCCTCCTGTGAGCCGCCAGGGCAGTGTCGCTGTGTCAGTCCCCGCTGTCGCCTGCACAAGTGAGTGATCCAGTGTGGAGGAGATGCCCGGGGGCGTGAGCCTCAGCAGCCCCACCCAAGCCCCTCGCAGCAGGGTGCTGGTGCCGGGTCCGTGGGTGGGGCTGGGCACCCAGCCAGAGCTCTGGGGTGGTGCGGCGGGGAAGAGAAACTCAGTCTGGGACCCAAGCGTGGAATCATCTGTTTTGGACTAATCTTGAGGTCAGTAGGGTTAGAGCCTTTTAAATGGCGCATTTGGAGGTCAGAGTGCTGGGGCTGGAGGCCATGCCTCCTCACCGGGGGGCTTTGGCTTCCGACCCTCACTTACCCTTGTGGTGGCACAAGTACACGCGTTTCCTGAAAATGCACCAACCGGTAGGCAGTAACTCAGCCAGCTTCCCAAGACCTGGGCCCCTGGGTGGCCACAGTGGCTTTCTGCCTTGGTGACCTCGAAGCCTCCTTCCGCTTTGCTTACTTCTAGGGATAAGATCCACCCAAGGCCCCACTCAGAGTTCCTGACTCTGTGGGGCCACCGGGGCCTGGGGATGTGCATTTCGTACCTGCGTCCAGGTGCCAGGTGATGTGGCTGTGGTGAAGGGGTGGGGGGAGCCTGTGGCCTCACGGCCCTGCTGCTGAACTGCTGACCTGACTCCCGCACAGACGCTGTGTGGCAGTGTGGGCCGTGTTTATGTCTTTAGGGTCCTGGTGGTGGCCGGGCCAGGGGGAAGCCAGGGTGGCAGTGGGGTTTGGCCTGCTGAGCTACTGTGGGGAGGCCGCAGGAACCGCTGCAGGAGGGCAGGGAGGTAGCCCCTCCCACCAGTGGGTTGGAGTGGAGGCTCCGCCCCCTAGCAGGCCAGGCACCACCTTGGTCTCCCCTCTTGTCCCTCAAACTGGCTTGGTGGCATCCTCAGGCCCATGCAAGGCTGTGGTTGCACACATGGCAAAGCCGGGCCACACTGCGGGTCTCAGGTGTTGTCATCACGGAAGTTTGTTCTTCCAGACCCGGCTGAGGGCCTCTTGTGGTTGTGGAAGGCGTCCTGTGCTCCAGGACCCTCCGTGTTAGCCTGGGTGGCCGGGCCAGCTGCTGGGCATCTGCTTCTGGAGACACCCACCCCTGGTCCTAGCGAAGCCTCGACTGTGGCGAGTCTTGACCTGGGAGTGTCTTCAGTGTTCCTGTGGGTGCTGGAGGCCACCAGGCACGCGTAGGATCAAGTCCTCCAGCAAGGCCACCTTCCCATGGCGAAGGGCGTGGGAGCCACCGGGGCTGGGGTCACAGAGGAGTGCGGCGGCCGTGGCCTGGGGTGCGTGCTGGCTGCGCAGCGCCCTGGAGCTGCTGCTTCATCCCCTGGGGCGCTCGGGCGGACAGGCTGAGGCTCTTCTGTCTGGGGGTGTGAGGCAGGGGAGCCTGACATCCGGGAGTGAGCAGCGCTCTGTCGAGGCGCGCCCAAGGGCAGGTGGGCCTGTGGAGGGGGCAGATGTAGGGGCCCTGGGGATGCATCTGTCGGGTGCTGTTTTTGGACTTGTCCCAGGTGCGTCCAAGCTTCTCTCTGCCCTCTGGCACTTTCCACAAAGTGGCCTTCCAGAATAGGGTTACCCTCTTAGCCAGGCCTGTATCTAAATTTTGAGCCTTTGATCGTAAACTGGGGGGCCTGACACAACTCCCACCTCCCCACACAGGGCAGAGCCGTCCTCCCTTTCCTACCATGTCTGGCAGTGGCACACAGGGGTCCCCTGCGAGTGCGCGGCACCCCACCCTCACTGCACTGGCAGCTGTGTGACCCTGGGCCTGTGGCTTCACCTCTGTGAACCTGTGTCACCATGGAATGGAGGCTACAGCCTGTGATGTGGGGCCCTGGGAGGGCAGGTTCATGGGGAAGGTGCCTTCCGGGAGGCACAGCTGTGCCGGCGTGGCCCAGCGAACTGCCTGCGAGAGGTGGCTGGGGTCACTGTGGGGGCGTGATGCCCATGCAGCCGTGGGGCTGGGGAGGGGCCTGTGTGCTAAGAGCATGATCTCGTTGGGCCAGGTGTGGGCGGAGGTGCCCCAGCCTTGCCTCTGATGGCATGCCCGCCCCTCTTTTCCAGGGACTTTGACTATGTCGGGGATTGCTCTCAGCAGACTCGCCCAGGAGAGGAAAGCGTGGAGAAAAGACCACCCTTTTGTAAGGAGAGCGTCGTCTCTGCTTGCAGTGACCGGTGTCCCCTTGGCCAGACCTTGAGTCCTGCCCAGAGGGTTGCGTGGGGCCGGGCTGGCATGTGGGGGAGTCGCAGGGCTGTTCTGGGAGCGCTGGAGTGGGACAGCTGTTGCACCAGCACCCCCTGGGGGGGGCCGCAGGAGCTCCTGCAGTACCACCCGCATGATCGCTCTCACCTGGGACAACCACAGCTAAGCACTAGGGAAAGGCCTCCACAAGCGACCTTGTCCATCAGAGCAGAAGAGGCAGCCCGCCAGGGTCCTGGCGCGCAGTCAGCAGGCGGGCAGCCCTCAGCCTGGCCCTGTAGGCTTGCACCGTGTCCAGAGCACTCTTGAGGGTGGTTTTTGCCCACTAGGGCATTCGTGGCTCCTCGGTGCCCAGGGTGCTGGCCTGGCCGAGCTCAGACTCAGTGGGGACTCAGCAGCCCTCTACGGGGCTGCTTGGCTTCGATCACAGTTTCCGTGTTCGTTGGTCAGCAGCCGTGTTCTTCTAGCCCGCGCTGTCCGCTCTGCCTTGGTCGAGGCGAGGGGCCTGCTGCAGAGACGTCCTGTGTGTGCTCCATAGGGAGGGACGCTGGCAGGCTCAGGCGGGGCGGGTTGCTTTGAAAGCCAGTGTGTCCCAGGTGCTGCGGCCCAGGGCCTTGTGCAGAAGGGCATTTCCACTGGCCTGGAGTTGGGTCGAGTTCCATTTAGAAGAAGAACCAGTTGAAGTGAAGGTTTTGAGAATCTTGTGGGAGTGAAGACATTTTCAGATATTGGAGTCACTGCCTGATTCTCACCACAGAGTCAAAGACAGAAGCCCGCTGGTGCTCTCTAACCCTGCCCTCTGTGCCCAAGCCCCCACAGTGACCCGCTGGCCCTCCTGGCCAGTGCCTACCCCTCCTGCCTGCCATGGCCCTCACCTCTGGCCCACCAAGCCCTGCTTGATCCGTCTCCGGCCAGGTCGCTGCTGACTGTGCTCCAGGCCAGTCCCAGTGGCCCTGCCCCATATCTCCTGGCACCTCGTCTTCCCGGCACAGGGCTCCCTCCTGTGAGCCGCCAGGGCAGTGTCGCTGTGTCAGTCCCCGCTGTCGCCTGCACAAGTGAGTGATCCAGTGTGGAGGAGATGCCCGGGGGCGTGAGCCTCAGCAGCCCCACCCAAGCCCCTCGCAGCAGGGTGCTGGTGCCGGGTCCGTGGGTGGGGCTGGGCACCCAGCCAGAGCTCTGGGGTGGTGCGGCGGGGAAGAGAAACTCAGTCTGGGACCCAAGCGTGGAATCATCTGTTTTGGACTAATCTTGAGGTCAGTAGGGTTAGAGCCTTTTAAATGGCGCATTTGGAGGTCAGAGTGCTGGGGCTGGAGGCCATGCCTCCTCACCGGGGGGCTTTGGCTTCCGACCCTCACTTACCCTTGTGGTGGCACAAGTACACGCGTTTCCTGAAAATGCACCAACCGGTAGGCAGTAACTCAGCCAGCTTCCCAAGACCTGGGCCCCTGGGTGGCCACAGTGGCTTTCTGCCTTGGTGACCTCGAAGCCTCCTTCCGCTTTGCTTACTTCTAGGGATAAGATCCACCCAAGGCCCCACTCAGAGTTCCTGACTCTGTGGGGCCACCGGGGCCTGGGGATGTGCATTTCGTACCTGCGTCCAGGTGCCAGGTGATGTGGCTGTGGTGAAGGGGTGGGGGGAGCCTGTGGCCTCACGGCCCTGCTGCTGAACTGCTGACCTGACTCCCGCACAGACGCTGTGTGGCAGTGTGGGCCGTGTTTATGTCTTTAGGGTCCTGGTGGTGGCCGGGCCAGGGGGAAGCCAGGGTGGCAGTGGGGTTTGGCCTGCTGAGCTACTGTGGGGAGGCCGCAGGAACCGCTGCAGGAGGGCAGGGAGGTAGCCCCTCCCACCAGTGGGTTGGAGTGGAGGCTCCGCCCCCTAGCAGGCCAGGCACCACCTTGGTCTCCCCTCTTGTCCCTCAAACTGGCTTGGTGGCATCCTCAGGCCCATGCAAGGCTGTGGTTGCACACATGGCAAAGCCGGGCCACACTGCGGGTCTCAGGTGTTGTCATCACGGAAGTTTGTTCTTCCAGACCCGGCTGAGGGCCTCTTGTGGTTGTGGAAGGCGTCCTGTGCTCCAGGACCCTCCGTGTTAGCCTGGGTGGCCGGGCCAGCTGCTGGGCATCTGCTTCTGGAGACACCCACCCCTGGTCCTAGCGAAGCCTCGACTGTGGCGAGTCTTGACCTGGGAGTGTCTTCAGTGTTCCTGTGGGTGCTGGAGGCCACCAGGCACGCGTAGGATCAAGTCCTCCAGCAAGGCCACCTTCCCATGGCGAAGGGCGTGGGAGCCACCGGGGCTGGGGTCACAGAGGAGTGCGGCGGCCGTGGCCTGGGGTGCGTGCTGGCTGCGCAGCGCCCTGGAGCTGCTGCTTCATCCCCTGGGGCGCTCGGGCGGACAGGCTGAGGCTCTTCTGTCTGGGGGTGTGAGGCAGGGGAGCCTGACATCCGGGAGTGAGCAGCGCTCTGTCGAGGCGCGCCCAAGGGCAGGTGGGCCTGTGGAGGGGGCAGATGTAGGGGCCCTGGGGATGCATCTGTCGGGTGCTGTTTTTGGACTTGTCCCAGGTGCGTCCAAGCTTCTCTCTGCCCTCTGGCACTTTCCACAAAGTGGCCTTCCAGAATAGGGTTACCCTCTTAGCCAGGCCTGTATCTAAATTTTGAGCCTTTGATCGTAAACTGGGGGGCCTGACACAACTCCCACCTCCCCACACAGGGCAGAGCCGTCCTCCCTTTCCTACCATGTCTGGCAGTGGCACACAGGGGTCCCCTGCGAGTGCGCGGCACCCCACCCTCACTGCACTGGCAGCTGTGTGACCCTGGGCCTGTGGCTTCACCTCTGTGAACCTGTGTCACCATGGAATGGAGGCTACAGCCTGTGATGTGGGGCCCTGGGAGGGCAGGTTCATGGGGAAGGTGCCTTCCGGGAGGCACAGCTGTGCCGGCGTGGCCCAGCGAACTGCCTGCGAGAGGTGGCTGGGGTCACTGTGGGGGCGTGATGCCCATGCAGCCGTGGGGCTGGGGAGGGGCCTGTGTGCTAAGAGCATGATCTCGTTGGGCCAGGTGTGGGCGGAGGTGCCCCAGCCTTGCCTCTGATGGCATGCCCGCCCCTCTTTTCCAGGGACTTTGACTATGTCGGGGATTGCTCTCAGCAGACTCGCCCAGGAGAGGAAAGCGTGGAGAAAAGACCACCCTTTTGTAAGGAGAGCGTCGTCTCTGCTTGCAGTGACCGGTGTCCCCTTGGCCAGACCTTGAGTCCTGCCCAGAGGGTTGCGTGGGGCCGGGCTGGCATGTGGGGGAGTCGCAGGGCTGTTCTGGGAGCGCTGGAGTGGGACGCCCTGGCGCTAATAACGTTCCTATGGTTCTCAGGGTTTTGTGGCTGTCCCAACAAAAAATCCCGACGGCACGATGAACCTTATGAACTGGGAGTGCGCCATTCCAGGAAAAAAAGGGGTAAGAGGGGCAGGGCAGACACCCGGGCTGCTGGTGGGCTCCTGGCAGCAGGTCTGAGCCCAGCAGCTGGGATATGCTGCTGCCCTTCGGAGGGACTGAGGTCCAAGTGACAGTCTTGCAGCCCACAGGGACAAGGCAAGGGGGACCAGCTCCCCAAGGCCGTTGTAATTCGGAAAGAAGGGGCTGGCTGTGGTGGGGATGGTGGGGTGTGGCACCCCTGCTGCACCTGCAGGTGAAGGAGCCGCAAGGCAGGTGAAGAAGGGGCCGGAAGAGGCCGGATGGCCTCGGGTCGGTCCTTCGGGAAGCGCCGAGGCTGAAGCGGCCTGGACACAGCAGTGCTTCCCCGGGTGGGGCTTTGTGCCTGGGACAGCCGCAGATCCTTGGGTACAGCAGCCAGGTGTCGCCGCCTGGGATTCCTGCTTGGGACCCCCGTGTCCTCCACGAGGCCACAGGCCGCCCCTCGGTGCTGAGGCTTGGCTCTCCCAAGAACTGGCCCGCTCGAAGCGTTTGGTCGGGGGGTGCCCAGTGAGCACAGCTGCAGCCCCTCCTGGGTGACTCCAGAGGACGGAGGCGGCCCCTGGGGCATCTGGGCTGAGCCAGGCCTCAGCACCTGCCCTCGGCCCTCGTGGTTTGCTGTGAGAGGCACACGCCCGCCCCTGCTGCTCCCCGAGTCCGCTTCCTCGCACTGAGCCAGCAGGAGCAGACCAGACTTTGTCCACAAGCTGATGTGGTTTGGTTTGCATTTGTCCGAGCCTCTGTCCAGGGCTTGGTGAGCAGCCCAGCCTTTGCTGAGCCCATTCTTGGCCTCTTGTCTTACCAGGCCTGCTGACCGTGCGCCCTGGTCATCTCCCTGCCAGGGGGTGGGGAGGTGTGGGCTATGGAGCTGGGAGGCTGCCCGGGGACAGGAGGCAAGACGCCCCTCCAGGGGACGGGTGCACACCGGCGCTCACGCAGGCCTCCCTGCAGCTGCTCAGGTGTCCTGACCTCCCCCTGGGCCAGGGGGAGGCGGCCAGCAGGGCCCACCTGCCTCCTCAAACCCGGCTCCTGCCCCGCCCCTCCCCAGGGAGGGCTCCTTAGGGCTCGTGGAGGCCCTGCCATCCTGCTGGCAGGGCCAGCCCTCCATGGGCCGGTGTGGGGCCTGCCTCTGTCAGGTCTCGGGGGGCCTTGTGAGCCTGGGGCGGGTAGCAGAAGCAAGTCCTCGCCTGGCCTGCCCACAGCAGAGGCCACCTGCACACCTGACAGTGGTTTTATGTCCCAACAGACTCCGTGGGAAGGAGGTTTGTTTAAACTACGGATGCTTTTCAAAGACGACTATCCATCCTCACCACCAAAATGTGAGTAGAACACAGCCCTTGGCAGGCAGGCCGCTGGCCCTGTTCTAGCAGAGGCCTGCCGTCCTCCTTAGGGAGCTTGGCTGCCTCTCCGGGGGGTGGGGGGAGTCCACACTGCTCCTGGGAGGGGGGCTTTGACCCTGTGGCGGGCTAGCTGAAGATTCGAGTCTGTTTCTAGCCCCGGGTCAGGAGGTCCCAGTAACAGACCTAGTCTCAGATTCCAGCTCTGACCCGCTAGGGGCTCCTGGGCCCTCGGTGCCTGTCAGGAGGCATAAGGGGCCGCAGGGTACCAGCCCCGGGTATGGATGGGCATGCACAATACACAGGCCACGGCCTCATCCTGAGAGGGCTCCGTCCGTCCCGATCTGATCACCCCACCTGGCATCTGAGAATTTCACACCCACCTTGGGGCTGGATGTGTGGCCTGAACAGCTAGCGCACGTAAGCGCTGTGAGAGGTGCGGGCTGTGGGGGGGGCGGCAGGGCAAGGCAGGGCTGCAGCGGGACCGGGGTGACGGAAACAGGACTGGGGCGGCGCCGCGTCCCCCTTTTTGTAGCTGGAGATGAGCAGACACCATCTGCGGCTGGCAGATTGAGTCACTGCGTAGCCCGGCATGTGGAAAGTGCCCTGTACGTGGTGAGGCAGTGTATAAACGTGTGCCCCTGTGGCTAATAGTCTAGCAGGTGGAAGTGTGTGCCCATTATAATAGCTTCTCACAGAAGACTTTCTAAATGAACAATTCGGGGTAGCCGGTGGGGTGGACTCTTTGTTTATTTGGGGTAGTTCTTTGCTGTTTGAGTGTTTGTGTCCTGTGCAGTTCTTACTTTAAGTAGTTTCATTAAGAAATGAGACAAGTTGTAGCTGCTCTCGCCGTTTGTGCTGAGCACTGCAGCAGGGCGGGAGAAGAGACCCCCGCGGGGGGTGGGCCACGGCTGCCCATGGTCTTTCTCTAAGTCTGTGCATTAAGGTCACTGAATAAACGATCGATACACAAAAAATGTGTTTTTGTATAATTGCAACAAATGAAAGTTTTTAACTGTCCTGTTTATAGTAGCGTCAAATATCTTGGAATAAATCCATGAAAGGACATCAAAAACATCCATGCTGAACACCGTAAAATGTTCTGAGGAAAATGGAGGAGAGCCTGAGGCCGGCAGGCGGAGTCCACGGGTGGAGGGCGTGGCGCTGTGAGGGTGTCGGTGCCCCCAAGCGGCTGCATGCCATCCCGCCGGTGTCCGGGCAGAGCCTGTGGGGACCTGGGTGTGGCAGTGCTGAGCAGCCGCGGCCCTTGGAGTCCCAGGGGCGGGGGGGTGCTTCGAGGCTCTCGGGTGGGGACCGTTAGCAGGATGGGCAGGGTGGGGAAAGGCAGCTCTGATGTGTGGACTGGGCCAGTGGGTGTCCCCTCAGAAGGACTCAGTCACCCCTTGCCACAGACAGAAGCCTTCCAGGCAGGTCTCGATGGCCAGTGGGCAGGAAGAACAGTGCAGCTGCTAGAGGACGACGGTGGGTCACTTCACCCTGTGGGCAAAGATTTCTTAACCAAGGAAGTACAAATAGTGCTTTAACCCCCATGGGGAAAATGACTGCACGTGAGAGTGACGGGGGAGAAGACCACATGTGCAGATCGGTGCTTGACCTGAATATATCAAGAGCATCTTCAAATCAGCAGGAAAACGCAGCCATAGAACAGGTCCTTCACAGAAGAGGCTCCGCCTGGCTGGCCAGCTTGGGGAAGACGGCTGATCCCCCCCAGACAGCTGCGCATTCCATCCACAGGGCGAGTAGTCAGGGCGGGAGAGGGTGCAGAGCGGCAGGGTCCTGCAGCCACTCGGCGGGAGATGGCAGGTTCTGAGTATTTCCCTTGGAAAGCCGTCTGCTGCATCTGCTGAAGCTGAAATGTTGCCTTTCCTGGGACCCATCCGTTCACTCAACCACACATTCGGTGGAAATGCCGACGTGCTCACCAAAAGGCATGGACAGGCGTGAGTGTGACAGACCCAGCGGGAGCCGCCAGGAGACGCAGACAGCCCGTGTCCACGCACACAGAAGGGGCGAATGGCCCGGTCTACTGGGCAGGACTGCGGGAGCCGCCGCTGCTCACAGCACGAGCGGCTCTCCCGCCCGGGAAGGGTGACCGAGCAGGGCCCAGAGCAGTTCCTGCAGCCCCTCGAGAGGGAGAGGCCCGCCACAGGCCACGTGAGCTGCAGTGTCTGAGGTCAGGAGGGAAGCCAGCCAGCGACCAGAAGAGCGAATGAGACGCTTGGGGCACTGGAATCACCACTGGTTCACCTGGCTACTAGGTAAGAAATAAGGTCGAGAATCAGACTAAATTAAAATCAAGAACTTGTATTCACCAAAAATATCAAAAGAGCGAAAGGGTGAACTCGGTGCAAGAAGACACCTGCAGGACATTCAACTGACACCCTGAATCCAGGAAGGAGCGTGCGAGGGTCTCGAGCATGACTCGCCCCCAAGAGGCGGCCCTGTGCGCAGCGCTGAGCGCAAGGAGCGCACCCTTGGTTGACACCGGGGAAATGCAGATCAGAGCCACAGAGGCAGCACTGTCCCTTTCCACCACTGAGGCCCTGGCAGCGCTGCCTTGCAGACCGCCGCCGCCCTGCGGAAGCTCACAGTTGTCCGGGTGTGGTGGGGACACACCTGACGCAGCGTTTTCACATAGTGCCCCCACGGGCAGCAGAGTTCTCATGCAAGGACTTGTGCCCCCGCTTTTTGTGGCCGCTCGCTTGTGCCTGCAGTGTGGTGGCCAGTCCACGGTGCGGCCGGTGCCCTGGGGCGGACAAGCAGGTGCAGCTGGGGGTGTTCTGGGAGATGGGTCAGCAGGTGCGTCTGTTTTCTGGTGACTCACTAAGCTGCCCTGAACTTGTTGCGTTTTCCTGGGTAAAATTAAATAGCATTTAAAAATGAGAAGGGGAAGCTCCCAGATGAAGGAGAGGGAGAATGTGCTGAGACACCGGCCGTGGGGACGGCCCCCGGGGCTCTGCCTGCCAGCCTGGGGCTGGGTCCCGCGGGGGGGCGTGGCTTCCTCTGCGCCTGCAGGGGCGGGGGGCGTGGCTTCCTCTGCGCCTGCAGGGGGGCGCATGCTCGCCCCCCTCCGCCTCCCACCTCGCAGGGCTGCAGTTTTGTCTGTCTGAATGGCCCTTGGCCATGTGCCCGGGGGCCCATGAGGCTCTGCAGGGCAGCCGCCGCCACAGCACGTGTCCTTTCTCCCTGCGTCCAGGCAAGTTTGAGCCGCCGTTGTTTCACCCGAACGTGTACCCCTCAGGCACGGTGTGCCTGTCCATCCTTGAGGAGGACAAGGACTGGAGGCCGGCCATCACCATCAAGCAGGTACAGTGCATGCGGCCTTGCCGGGGCTGCCCTGGGGACCCGGCTGTGGTTCTCGGTAGCCGAGGCCCGTGTTCCAGAGGTTTTGGCCCACTGACCTCCTACCCTTCCGTGTCTGTTTTTCTCTGTTACACAGATCTTATTAGGAATACAGGAACTTCTAAATGAACCAAATATCCAAGACCCAGCTCAAGCAGAGGCCTACACGATTTACTGGTTAGTGGCGACCCGGTCCCCCCTGCTGCAGCCCCACTGGCTCACGCACGTTCCCAGGAAGCCAGTCTGGGCTGCCTGTGCAGAGGAGTGGCCGGCACTCTGGGGGTGTGGGACGGTCCCTGACACAGGGCATGAGACGCAGGCACACGTGTGTGGCAGCCAGGGTTGGCCCCGGCGGGAGGTTGTGTGGGACAGCAGGCAGGTGGCCGCTCCCACCGTGCTCCTGGCTTCCTCCTGGTCACGCGCTGCTGCGGTGTCTCCACCCTTCTCTGTGTGGTGCTGGTGGCCCGACCGGCAGTGTCCAAGGGTTCTAGTGGGTTGTGGCTGACAGTCGCTCGAACCTGGTGCCACGGTGTGCCGGCAGCCCCGGTTGCTGTGTGGTGCTGCTGCTGCACAGCACCTCTATAGGTAAGGCCACTCAGGTCATCACCGTCTGAGCCGAGCCCTGTGACAGTCCGTGCGGCCCACGGAGCCAGAACCACCACCCACGGCTCCTGGCATGTGTGGCATGTGGGTGTGGTGCCTGGAGTGCCGTAGCCTCTCCCCATCACACGGGGCTCCTGACCTGCCGTCTTGGGCTACGTGCTCCACACTGAGACATGGTGCTCTCCTGTATGCATCCACTTTCAAAGCACCTTTTGTGAAACTCACTGAAAGTTTTCAGGTCTTTTCCTTGCACGTGAGGCCATGTGGCTCTTGGCAGGTGCCCATGGCCCCCAGAGGCTGCCTGTGGCCCCCCTCAGTCAGTGGCAGAGCCAGACGTGGCTGCATCTACCCTGGGGCCTCATGGCCACAGCCCCTACAGAAGCCTCCCTTCGCCTCAGGCCTCCTGGGGCCCTCACCCACAGCTCTCCGTGGGCAGCTGCTGGGCCAGCAGAAAGGTTCTTCCTTTCCCTGGGCTGGAGCCTGTCACCTGTGCTGGGGCAGAGCGGAGGGGAAATCCTCAGCCTTGTCTGTGTCCCCTGGGAGCTTCAGCAAACCCCCGGGCCTGGGAGCAGCCCACAGAGGCTAGGACCCACCGCTCACTCGGGAGCACGCTGCTCCCAGACCAGCCCCAAGGCGCTCGGCAAGCCCTCCCCCAGCTCGTCTCATCCCCACCAGCCTGGAGGTCACACGGCTCCCTCGTAGTGGTCCGTCTGTCCCCTCTGATGGCACACTTGGTGCTGTCATGCCCAGCCCCTGTGGGCCAGGGCTCTCCACTGACCACTGGAGAGCTGCCCCGCACCTCTGCCCTTGGCATGGCATGCACCCCCGCAGAAACCCCGCCGGGGTTGGTGTTCTCCCCACAGGATGGTTGGGGCTGTTGCAGCCTAAGAGAAGCAAACTGCTGGTCGGTGGTGAGACTGGGCTGCCACCCGGAGGGCCACCCTCTGCCCTCCAGCTCTGCAGCCTGTGCCCGGCGCCCTCAGCCCAAGAGCAGGTGGTGCACCTTCTAACGTGTCTCTCTCTTGACCTCCTCAGCCAAAACAGAGTGGAGTACGAGAAGCGGGTTCGAGCACAAGCCAAGAAATTTGCGCCTTCATAAGCAGCAACCTTGTGGCATCATAAAAAGGAAGGGATTGGTTTGGCAAGAACTTGTTTACACATTTCTGCAGATCTAACTTTGCTCTGTACCACGCTAGTCGCTAGGGGAGGGAGGGCGGTGCCATTTCCATCTGCCGCCGGCACACGGCTCTCGACTTGCTGATCGCCCGGTGTTTCCTACAGGGTCTCTTCCTTCGGTCTTTTGTATTTTTGATTGTTATGTAAAACTTGCTTTTATTTTAATATTGATGTCAGTATTTCAACTGCTGTAAAATTATAAACTTTTTTACTCGCCGCATCCCCCAGAGCACGTTCCCTTGCTCGTGGGTGCAGGCATGCTTGCCGCCAGCCGCTCAGCACTCTCCCCCCACCCCGTGGCTGTGCAAACCGAGCCGGCCCGGCCCTCCTCCCGCATCTGCCCTCCCTGCAGAACCTGGGTTGTGTTGCTTAGGATCCTTGAATCCAGAGTCAGCCAGCGTCTCATTTCCGCATCACTTCCTTTGTGTTTATATGGCGTTTTGTCTGTGTTGCTGTTTAGAGTAAATAAACTGTTTATATAAAGGTTTTTGTTGCATTATTGTCATTAAAAGGTGAGGAACAGCCTCGTGTGCCCAGCCCTCCCCCAGGATGGCAGGCCGCACAGCACACCAGCCTTGGCCACATGACTCGCTATCTGCTCGGAGTGCCAGCACCATGTGGCGCTCACCCTGGTCCTTTGTAAATAGCGCACAAGGACGTGTGTGTGCGTGGGGCTTGTCCCCACCCCAGGTCTCCTGAGCCTCAGCGTGCTGGAGAGGTGTACGTGTGCTCAGGCTGGAATCGGTGCCCCTGTGCCCCTCTGGCCTTCAGGAGGACAAGCTGCCTAAGCCCAGGCCAGGGCAGAGCCCTGGGGAGGACTGGGCCTGGTCTGTCTGGGGCAGGCGTGCGGCACGCCAAGGCCTCAGTGGTTGCCCTGGGCCCCTGCAGGCAGCCCGCCCGTGCTCACCGCATCAGTCCCCAGCCCGGGGCACAGGTGATGCCCAGCGGTCATCAGCACCAGGGGGCCCTGAGAGCATCTCTGAGGACTGCTGTTCCACGCGCTCACTTCCTCCTGAAGAGCCCCAAGCCTGGTCTTCCCAAAGAAGCTGCTCAGGAAGTGCCCTGGAACCCCAGCCACTACAGAGCTGCCCGGAGCTGGCTGCTGGTTGTGCTGTGAAGCTCAGCAGGGAATGGCCGCAGAGAGGAAACAGAGGGAACAGGCCTGGTGTCCCAAAGCCCAGTGCTGGCCGGGGACCTGGCCTCCAGGCCCCAGGAGCATGGTGCTGACCAGACCAGAGGCCCAGAGCCCACCTGCACCAGTGAGCCTCGCCCTCCCACCGGCTGCCTACAACTCCATCGGATGGACCAAGGGGGTTCAGTGGTCCCAAATAGTCAGGGAGGGCTGGTCACCTGGGCCCTCGGTCAGAAAGGGGCACCATGGCTCACCTGGAAAATGTGCCGCCTGTGGCAGGATGGCAGTGGGAGGCGGAGACAGCCCCCGAGGGCCCTCTGGCTGACCACCTCCAGGGCTCTGGGGCCCAGAGCCTTCGCTCACCAGGCTGGACACTGAGCTGAGCTCTTGGCTGGTGGTGGCGAGTGTCCAGTGCGGAGGGCCTGACGGGGAGCCAGCGGGTCGGTGTGCTTGCAGCCTCTCCCAGAATGTCTTATTTTGTAATAACTGAACTACACTTAGTAATAGTTACACACGTATATGGTTAATATATATGGAAATTCAATATATTTTCTAGTTAAAGCATTCTAAAGTAATCAATGTTTCTAGCAAATTGTCGTGACCTCAGCTAATGAAATGTCCTTTTGTGCCACAGTCCTTGGCTTAACAGATGTGAACCTTGTAACACGAGAGCTGTGAATGTGGTCATCCTGTTTCTAATGTGAGGGGGGAGTGTTCTCCCAGCCCGGGCGCCTAGAAATCAGTAAGGAATCGTGGGCAGTAGATTAACCACTGTATCTGCGAAACCTCCGATTAAAGCGTGTTTCCACAAGTGCTGCCTCAGTGTGTCCTTGTCCTGCTTCGTCCCACACAGGCCACTCCTGCCCAGCGCAGCCCACGCGGACTAGTCCTGCCCACCTGGGAGGCCTGCGGAGGCCGCCTCCTCCCAGCTGCGGTGTCTCCACCCTTCTCTGTGTGGTGCTGGTGGCCCGACCGGCAGTGTCCAAGGGTTCTAGTGGGTTGTGGCTGACAGTCGCTCGAACCTGGTGCCACGGTGTGCCGGCAGCCCCGGTTGCTGTGTGGTGCTGCTGCTGCACAGCACCTCTATAGGTAAGGCCACTCAGGTCCTCACCGTCTGAGCCGAGCCCTGTGACAGTCCGTGCGGCCCACGGAGCCAGAACCACCACCCACGGCTCCTGGCATGTGTGGCATGTGGGTGTGGTGCCTGGAGTGCCGTAGCCTCTCCCCATCACACGGGGCTCCTGACCTGCCGTCTTGGGCTACGTGCTCCACACTGAGACATGGTGCTCTCCTGTATGCATCCACTTTCAAAGCACCTTTTGTGAAACTCACTGAAAGTTTTCAGGTCTTTTCCTTGCACGTGAGGCCATGTGGCTCTTGGCAGGTGCCCATGGCCCCCAGAGGCTGCCTGTGGCCCCCCTCAGTCAGTGGCAGAGCCAGACGTGGCTGCATCTACCCTGGGGCCTCATGGCCACAGCCCCTACAGAAGCCTCCCTTCGCCTCAGGCCTCCTGGGGCCCTCACCCACAGCTCTCCGTGGGCAGCTGCTGGGCCAGCAGAAAGGTTCTTCCTTTCCCTGGGCTGGAGCCTGTCACCTGTGCTGGGGCAGAGCGGAGGGGAAATCCTCAGCCTTGTCTGTGTCCCCTGGGAGCTTCAGCAAACCCCCGGGCCTGGGAGCAGCCCACAGAGGCTAGGACCCACCGCTCACTCGGGAGCACGCTGCTCCCAGACCAGCCCCAAGGCGCTCGGCAAGCCCTCCCCCAGCTCGTCTCATCCCCACCAGCCTGGAGGTCACACGGCTCCCTCGTAGTGGTCCGTCTGTCCCCTCTGATGGCACACTTGGTGCTGTCATGCCCAGCCCCTGTGGGCCAGGGCTCTCCACTGACCACTGGAGAGCTGCCCCGCACCTCTGCCCTTGGCATGGCATGCACCCCCGCAGAAACCCCGCCGGGGTTGGTGTTCTCCCCACAGGATGGTTGGGGCTGTTGCAGCCTAAGAGAAGCAAACTGCTGGTCGGTGGTGAGACTGGGCTGCCACCCGGAGGGCCACCCTCTGCCCTCCAGCTCTGCAGCCTGTGCCCGGCGCCCTCAGCCCAAGAGCAGGTGGTGCACCTTCTAACGTGTCTCTCTCTTGACCTCCTCAGCCAAAACAGAGTGGAGTACGAGAAGCGGGTTCGAGCACAAGCCAAGAAATTTGCGCCTTCATAAGCAGCAACCTTGTGGCATCATAAAAAGGAAGGGATTGGTTTGGCAAGAACTTGTTTACACATTTCTGCAGATCTAACTTTGCTCTGTACCACGCTAGTCGCTAGGGGAGGGAGGGCGGTGCCATTTCCATCTGCCGCCGGCACACGGCTCTCGACTTGCTGATCGCCCGGTGTTTCCTACAGGGTCTCTTCCTTCGGTCTTTTGTATTTTTGATTGTTATGTAAAACTTGCTTTTATTTTAATATTGATGTCAGTATTTCAACTGCTGTAAAATTATAAACTTTTTTACTCGCCGCATCCCCCAGAGCACGTTCCCTTGCTCGTGGGTGCAGGCATGCTTGCCGCCAGCCGCTCAGCACTCTCCCCCCACCCCGTGGCTGTGCAAACCGAGCCGGCCCGGCCCTCCTCCCGCATCTGCCCTCCCTGCAGAACCTGGGTTGTGTTGCTTAGGATCCTTGAATCCAGAGTCAGCCAGCGTCTCATTTCCGCATCACTTCCTTTGTGTTTATATGGCGTTTTGTCTGTGTTGCTGTTTAGAGTAAATAAACTGTTTATATAAAGGTTTTTGTTGCATTATTGTCATTAAAAGGTGAGGAACAGCCTCGTGTGCCCAGCCCTCCCCCAGGATGGCAGGCCGCACAGCACACCAGCCTTGGCCACATGACTCGCTATCTGCTCGGAGTGCCAGCACCATGTGGCGCTCACCCTGGTCCTTTGTAAATAGCGCACAAGGACGTGTGTGTGCGTGGGGCTTGTCCCCACCCCAGGTCTCCTGAGCCTCAGCGTGCTGGAGAGGTGTACGTGTGCTCAGGCTGGAATCGGTGCCCCTGTGCCCCTCTGGCCTTCAGGAGGACAAGCTGCCTAAGCCCAGGCCAGGGCAGAGCCCTGGGGAGGACTGGGCCTGGTCTGTCTGGGGCAGGCGTGCGGCACGCCAAGGCCTCAGTGGTTGCCCTGGGCCCCTGCAGGCAGCCCGCCCTTGCTCACCGCATCAGTCCCCAGCCCGGGGCACAGGTGATGCCCAGCGGTCATCAGCACCAGGGGGCCCTGAGAGCATCTCTGAGGACTGCTGTTCCACGCGCTCACTTCCTCCTGAAGAGCCCCAAGCCTGGTCTTCCCAAAGAAGCTGCTCAGGAAGTGCCCTGGAACCCCAGCCACTACAGAGCTGCCCGGAGCTGGCTGCTGGTTGTGCTGTGAAGCTCAGCAGGGAATGGCCGCAGAGAGGAAACAGAGGGAACAGGCCTGGTGTCCCAAAGCCCAGTGCTGGCCGGGGACCTGGCCTCCAGGCCCCAGGAGCATGGTGCTGACCAGACCAGAGGCCCAGAGCCCACCTGCACCAGTGAGCCTCGCCCTCCCACCGGCTGCCTACAACTCCATCGGATGGACCAAGGGGGTTCAGTGGTCCCAAATAGTCAGGGAGGGCTGGTCACCTGGGCCCTCGGTCAGAAAGGGGCACCATGGCTCACCTGGAAAATGTGCCGCCTGTGGCAGGATGGCAGTGGGAGGCGGAGACAGCCCCCGAGGGCCCTCTGGCTGACCACCTCCAGGGCTCTGGGGCCCAGAGCCTTCGCTCACCAGGCTGGACACTGAGCTGAGCTCTTGGCTGGTGGTGGCGAGTGTCCAGTGCGGAGGGCCTGACGGGGAGCCAGCGGGTCGGTGTGCTTGCAGCCTCTCCCAGAATGTCTTATTTTGTAATAACTGAACTACACTTAGTAATAGTTACACACGTATATGGTTAATATATATGGAAATTCAATATATTTTCTAGTTAAAGCATTCTAAAGTAATCAATGTTTCTAGCAAATTGTCGTGACCTCAGCTAATGAAATGTCCTTTTGTGCCACAGTCCTTGGCTTAACAGATGTGAACCTTGTAACACGAGAGCTGTGAATGTGGTCATCCTGTTTCTAATGTGAGGGGGGAGTGTTCTCCCAGCCCGGGCGCCTAGAAATCAGTAAGGAATCGTGGGCAGTAGATTAACCACTGTATCTGCGAAACCTCCGATTAAAGCGTGTTTCCACAAGTGCTGCCTCAGTGTGTCCTTGTCCTGCTTCGTCCCACACAGGCCACTCCTGCCCAGCGCAGCCCACGCGGACTAGTCCTGCCCACCTGGGAGGCCTGCGGAGGCCGCCTCCTCCCGGGGCTTCCAG